TGAAGAACAAAAGGACAGCAACTTGTCTGTTCCCCTTCCCCAGCACTGTTCCCAACCCCCCAATTCCCCAATAAAAATCTTTAAAAAAAAAAGTAAATTTTGTTATGTTTTACACACACACACACACACACACACACACACAGGCCTAAGGAGCAAGTGTTGAGCAATATCACCTCTTGCTGGACAGGCCTGAGCCTCAAGGTCAATGACAGCACTGCCCTCTGCAGGCTGTCCTGAGACTTTAAAAGATGATGCCTGGGAAGCCCTTTGTACAGCCTGGCATGCTCACCACAAAAATGTGAGCACTTCTGTATAGGCATTGCCGTCATCATCGTTGAAGGCCTTTTTACTGGCTGCAGGGATGCTCTTCAACTCATCTGTTAGTAAGTGCCATCCCTGCTTCCCTTCTCAAACTAGCCTCTACTGCAGCCATCATGAGCCTATTAAAACCTACTCGAGCCACGTCACTCCTCTGCTCAAAACCTTGCAACGGTTCCCGTTTCACTCAGAGTAAAGCTCAGTTTTTCACAGCCGCCTACAAGGCCCTACCTGATCTGTAACGCTTCTTCCTCTGACCGCTCTGACCTCCTGTCCTGCCATTTGTTTTCACCACACAGGCCTCCTAGCTCTCCCTCACACGTTTCCCTCTCGCCTCTGGGCCCCGCTCCTAGCTTTTCTGCACGCTGGGAATAGTCTTCCACCAGGTAAACAGCCACACGGCTCACTCCCTTGCCTCCTTCAGGGCTTTGCTCAAATCTGACCCCTAGAATTGATCCAGTGGCTATCTAATATGGCACCCCCTCCCTCCATGCCCCTGCTTTACTCTTCTCAAAGCACTTACCACCTTCCAATATAACTACGTAATTCATTTGTTTGTACTTCCCACCCCAATAAAGGCACACTCCACAAGAAACTGGGATCTGCCTTGTTCATTGTTTCCCAAGAACCTAAAACAGTACATCACACAGTAGGCATTCAACGTGTAAATTTTGGACTAAGTCAATGATTAAAAAAAAAAAAAGCTCAATCCCCTACTGTTGAGCACTTAGGTCGTTTTCAACTTTTTTCGACTAAAGTCCGCTATTTGGCGTCCAGTTGGCATCCGGCGCATGCGCTGAGCACCCATGGTCCCGCTAAATTATCACAGCCACCCTCTGCTTCTGCGACCGCCTTGTATAGAGGCCTGGGAAGGTTCGCGGCCGGGGCTCGCCTTCTACCCAACGCGTCCGCCCGCGGGAGCAGTAAAGTACCTCAGGCCATTCTGCGCCTCCCGCCGTCACTCCCGCCGCGCATGCGGCCTGGGCCGCTTGGACTGCGTCACCCGCGCGGCCGACTAAGACCGCTCCCGGAAAAACAGCCGCTTTGCTATGGGCTTCCGCCTACCCGTTCTCCGCGGGACTACTCTGACGTCTTCCTGACTCCTGTTCACTGCAAGAATCCGCCAAGGCCTGGAGCTCCCCTGCAGATGACCGAGTCTGGGCCCAGGAAACTCCGGGGGTGTTTACATTTGGCTTCCGTCTGCCCCGCCCCCCGGATGCGTGGCGGCTAGGCGCGGATATGACGTCACCGCGAGGCGTCCTTCTAAGGACCCAGGAGTAAGTCATCAGGATCTGAGGCCCGCCGAACTCAGCGCCCTCTGGTGACCACTCCGGAGAAAACCGCGTGTGCAAATGTCTGCATGGGGTACGGGACTCAGGGCGTGTTTATTTGGCCAGGGAGCTTGCTTCATAGTCATTCATTTATCCTTGCATTCATTCATTCAATAAATTTATATCTAGCATCTCTTCTGAGCATCTCCTATGTCAATAACTCACCAAGGACAGGACCTGCTCTCAGTGTCTCTTGCGGCTAACAACACATAGTAGGTGTTCGGTGGGAGTTGACAAAAAAAGATTCAGATGGTCCTATTTAAAAATGTAAGCCAAGTTTCACTGTGCATTTATTAAGTACTCGCTGAGCCCCTACTATGTGCTAGGTACTGAGGATTCAGTGGAGAACAAAAAGATGTGGCTTCTGTACTAATGAAACACAGTGCTTGTATTTAATAATAATAACAGCTAGTATTTATCAAGTGCTTACTTTGTGCCAGGCACTATGCAAAAAACTTTACATATGTTTTCTCATGGAGCTCTCACGCTATCCTAAGGTAGCTATCGTTATGATCATCCCCATTTTACAGAGGTGGAAACAGGCACAAGGGCTAAGTTACTTGTCCAAGATCACACAATTGTTAACTAAGTGTGTAATTGTAAGTGGGCCATCTGACTCTAGATGGTGCTCTCCACACTGCACCATATTACCACCAATTGTGTGGTATGAGTCGGGGTGTATATGGGAGAGTGGCTGGGGCTGCCAAAGCTTGAATGTAAGCCCCATGAAGATGGGACCTTGTCTCTGTTGGCTTACCACCGTCCCCTCAGAGGAGACAGGACTTGTTCCAGATTTGGGGAGAGGTAGAGGAAATCAACACAGACCCCACAGACAGAGGCATTTTAGTTTCTCACAAAAGCATGGGTTTCAAAAGCTGCCAAAATTAGCTTCAGATTCATCCTTTGCCACTTATTCAGCATCCTCATCTGTCACGTGGAGAGATTTATAGCATCTACCTCAGAGTTGTGAGGGAAAAATAGTTCGTGTAGAGTATCTGGTACCCAGACAACACTCTGGAATGGGAGAGAGTTTCCTTAAGCAGCGGCCTGGCAAACCCATCCTGCCAGGCTGCAGCCCATCAAAACCAGTGCAGCTCATGTATGAGGTATAATCAAACACTACAGTGAATGTTTAAATTTTTTAAAAAATTACAATAAATGACACATTGCCATTAGTCCCCCTCAAAATACTCCCCCTCGCTTTGAACACACTTACCCCACCATTCTTGCCACTTTCTGAAGCAGTTCTGGAAGTCTTCTTTTGTGAGTGTCTTTAGTTGCACTGTTATGGCTGCCTCGATGTCCTGAATCATTTTGACTTTGGGGAAGAGCCAGAAGTCGCACAGTGCCAGGTCCAGTGAGTAAGGTGGATGAGGACACATCATAATGTTTTTATTTGACAGAAATTGCCGTATACCAGAAGCAATCTATGTGTGACACGGAGCGTTGTCATGATAGAGGATGAAAACATTTGCCCATTTCATATTAATGTGTTGTTTGTGATCCATGATTTACTGCGCACTTTAAAACACACCGTCTCTCAACCGTAGCTCACACTGGACTGACTGCACCGAACAAGTTGAAACTTGTCACACACTCTTACTAAGGTTCAACGTGCTTCTTCCCGTATTGAAGATCCCTGCCTTTCCATTGGATGGCTCTCGGCAGCAGCATTCATCGTATGTATTGATCACAATGGAAAGGCTCTGTGTGACACATTACTTCTGGTATAGTGATTTCTGTCAAATAAAAACATTACAGGGTGTCCTCATCCACCATATTCACCAGATCTGGCACTGTGCAACTTCTGGCTCTTCCCTAAAGTTAAAATGACCGTGAAAGGTAAATGTTTTGAATTGATTATAAAATATGAATTGAAAATAAAGGCAGCCACAACAACGCAGCTAAAGACACTCATGAAAGAGGCAAAAACGATGGGATAAGTATTTGAAGTGAGGGGGAGTATTTTGAGGGGGATTAATGGCAATGTGTCTTTTACTGTAATAATTGTTTTCTTATTTAAACATTCACTGTATGTTTTGATCACACCTCATATTTTGGACTTCAAAGAACTTGGATAATTTTCACTCTCCTGCACCAAGCCCTGAAAATGAAGTGTCTTTCAAAATGCCTGAATCCTCTTAGTGCTGTCAGAGTTTGGGATAAAAGGGGTACCCTTGAATGTGAAGACAATAGTTAGCTGACTTTTGTTTTTCAATTCAATTTTATTTTTTGAATAGATGCTTTAGGCTAACAGCATACATTTCAAATGGTATAAAGGGATAAGCAATGAAGAGTAAGTCTCCTTCCCACCCCTTCCCCATGAGCAACAACTCGTATGAGTTTCTAAAGTGTCTCCCCAGAGATATGGTAGGGGGTGCTTTCCCTTAGGAATATACCTTAACATCGTTCCAAATCAAAATACACAGACTGCCTCAGTTGTTATAAAAGTTGCCCAGCATTGCATTGGGTGGCATCAGTTGGCTCAAGAGGGGCCATTCTGGACATTCTCTCTATCTGACATTTCAGAGCAAAGTTGTTGGGAAAGATCTGCTAGTATTTTATATTTCTGGAAGCTATGGCAGCCAAGAAAGAGTTAAGTCCATGCTTCCAGCCACTCGGCTGTGTTCAGCTCCTCTCCCTACCTTGTGAACTGGTGCCAAATAGATTTTGCTCAAAGTTGAGGAGCATTCACAACTTAGGGAAAAAAGGCAAGAGAGAGGCCTGAGTAGGATGACAGTCCCTTAACATTCACAGCCACAATTCTCCATCAATCACACAGGAATTGTATCCATTTATGTCAGCAAGTTGTGAAGATAGGACAAAGGAAGTGAAAATGAGCAGACATTAAAAGCTATGAAACTGCAGCTGTTGTTTCCATTTAGGGAGACCTGCCAAGTGCTAGATAGTTTGCT